AAATAATTTAAAAAGACAAATTACAATAAAACGGTTTATTATCCAACTATCAGAAATTTCACAACATGCCAAGGAAGAGAGGAAGGAGCAATTAAATAATTAAAATTATAAAGGATTAAAAAATATATATATAAAAATGGGGAATATCACACTTCTGACAATCGCTGCAAGTGTGTGGGCTAAATTTGGAGAATCTGTGCTTCTCGCATGGACAACCGTATATGGCCAGCTCATGCGTTGGAAAACCTTCTGATTTATTCGTGTACACACCAGACGGAAAAACAAAAAAATATCGTGTATCCACAAGCACTCCAATAAATAAATAGAATTGAAACAACACTTTGAAATGTTTTCCCGATGAAAATGAATAATAATAATAAGTTTCAATAAAAATGATAAAATGTAAATTGAATTTTATTATAACGAGTTGGCTTGAATTTCGTTTCTTCTGAGATCGCAGCAATGCGCGACGGGTAAGCTAGTAATATGTATTATTAAATTTCATTTACTTGAAATATATATAATTGTCTGCTAAAGTAAATGAAATTTGTCTGCTATAATTGTCTGCTAAGTAAATGAAATTTAATAATATATATTATTAAATTTCATTTACTTGCAATAATTTTCTTCTGTATAAAAATCAAAACTTTTGAATGAAGCTTGTCCTTTAGCCTCTCATTCCTTCAAACAGTCATTTTCATTATTCAAAAACTTATAAAGCAGAACATATTTCTAAAAGCTATCTTGATTGTATTCATTCAACATTCATTCATTGCCAATTTTTCAAAAATATAAAATTCTTAATTAGTTTTCTGAATTTGAATCTACAGCAAGTCCTCATATAGCAAGTCCTCATAAATCACATTAAGATGTTAACAGATAGATTGCATTCATGCAATGATGACAACAAAACTATAGAACAAGAAGGGTAGAAGGAATTTTTCACAATTCAATAATTTTATCAACATAGCTGTTTAACACTTTTGACTCAATATTCATATATAGCATGGAATTGGCTATAACCTGCTTCTGCACAAGATGCATGTACTATGTATGTGTGCTTGTTTCTCCTTGTTTTTATACAGTTTCCAATTTTTTTTGTGTACAGTCCCTAATATAGATAATACTAATTTACAATGCTGCAGTATATGTTATAATCATTCATTTCTCATTTTGATTTTTTCTATCCTTCAGTCACTAAGAGGATCTTTCCTATCAAATCTACAATGAGGCTATTGAGCAATGATGTATGGGCCAATTATATCCTGGTCAATCACAGGAAATTTGAAGAGTTATATATATAAATTAATTTTACTTAATCATTTACTTAAATTTTATATTTTTGATTATTTTAAGTAACTTTAGTTTCATATAATGCAAAAAATGTTGGAAAAAATTTTAAATTTTTTTCAATTAATTTATGGTATATAAAACAATTTTATATGAACACTATAAACTACACCACAAAACATTGGGATGTGTTAAATAATGCCATTTGCTCTGATCCATCAGAAATTCCATTTTACACCTGAAGAAAAACTCACAGCAGTTCGAAAACGTCTGTGGTGAACTTTTTGTTTTTTTTTTTTTTTTTTTTGGGTCACACCAGATATAGGTTGTTGGGGTACGTTATTGAACACTATAAACTTTAGAATGAAACTTTTCTTGCTTTGAAGAGATCATTACCCTGTAGCAGGATCTATTAGAGTGAAATAGTCATGTCCCACTTAGTTTAAAGCTAGCCCTGATGATAAGACTATTATATTCTTATGGTTATTACATCAGCTTGTTAATATAGTAATTATGATAGAATGCAAACATTGCTAACTGTTTTATTCACATTATAATCAGAGTTTTTGATTATAATGTGATTTTGATCATGAGTCTTGGAATCCAAGCCAGAAACAATTTTGCATGAGCCTGAGTAAAATGTACAAACACCAAACTTAATATGAAATCAAAAAATGCTATTTTAACACTTTGTATCATGCTCTTCCTTTCAAGTTTATAATTCTTGTTCTTAATATTATTGGAATATCATTAAATATAAGAAATAAAAAAAAGGAGCCATAAACGCATAGCCAATTGACTATATGTTTTGTTTTAATCACAAAAGACACAGTCTGTCCAAAAATTATTTTTTGAAACCACCATTTATTCTGATCATGTGTTCCAGAACAAAACTTTTTTAGAAGTAATTCGTCACCAGAGGGATAAGGCCAAAATTTACATTTAACAGCACATTTATCAAGTGAATATAAGGACTGAAATTCCCTAACTGGAAAGGATGCAAGTTCAAGATGTCTGTAAGGCCGCCAGTTCCAATTCTTTACTTTTAATGTTTTAATTGGATATTTTTGTGTGTTTTTTTAAAAAAATGTTTTAGCCTGACGGCTTAGTAGCCTACAAAGAAAGGTCGGGTTGTCGATGGTGTTCTGGAACACATGATCAGATAAAATGGTGGTTTCAAAAAATAATTTTTGGACAGACTGTGTCTTTTGTGATTAAAATAAATTTTCATCCGGCGAAATTTTACAAATATATTTTTTGTATATCTGATTCCACCTACACCTCTCAGTGGCCTTTTCCTGCTTTGCTTTGCACCCTGCAGTATAAGTTATACTGACTGCAAGTCAATAAAAGTAAGGTACACAAGAGATACCTCAGAGAGAAGGAAATAACAAATTTTTTTATCAGCATCTGCTTAAATATTTATTAAGATTAAGTGAAAATTCAGAAAAGATATTTCTTTGGATAAAATGGATACAGAAATCAGCATTGAAGAGGAGCTAGAAAGTTAACCTGGCTTGAAATGCATCTGTAAAAAAGCAATAAAAGGAGTTTTATAATCTGAATTGGCTGTGAGGTAGTCTACTGGAAGTTTTTTTTTTTTTCCGGATTGAAGAGACATTANTTTATATTTTTCAATATATTTATTTTGTTTGTACAAAATAAAAAAATAATTTTTAACGATACAATAGTCTTTGTTAGGCTTAACATCGACGAAAATTCAACGCGAAGCAACATGCAACGGAGAAAAATTTCAACATTGGATACGTTAAACTAATTTTTCGTACATAAATCGGTTATCCGAAATATCAGTTATACAAACAACCCCAGTCCCCAATTGATTCGGAAAATCGACACTCTACTGTACTATCATAAAAAATAATAAATAAAAAATTGCCAGGACAAATTATGACATTTATAGAAAATATATTTCTTTTTGCTACCGCTAGAGGATGTTATTAACTGTTTTACATTTTACGGCAAATGGTAGCCTACATAGAAAGGTCGACTTCACTGGTGGAATTGTTATTGCCTCGTACAGCGTGTGAAGGGACAGAAAATAGACAAAGACTCGTCTATGTATGTATAGTCAAAAAGAAATATATTTTCTATAAAATTACTATTATATTTGGAAGGCCACACACACATACACACACAAAACTTTTAACATATACATACATACTTAAGTCTATGTATATGAAACATTTTACAATTATTATTCTAGATTAACTCAAAATTTACTGAAATATTTTTCAAAATTCAAAAATTTGTCATATTTCTATAATGTTTTTATCTTATAAATTTCATTTCAAAGAAAATCTTATATTTATATAATTGAAAAGAAGTGAAAATATATAATACTGCATTTACCCAACTGCAAACAAACTTCTTTTTAATTTTTTTTCTGGTTCAAAAATAAAAGTCCATCAGCTTAGAATTAGTATCATTAATGCAGTTAGTAAGATAAGTGACAATAAAAATTCAGAAAAATATCACCAGAAGTTTATGCAAATTTTGTATGCATGTGTGGAAAAGTATTTCTAGAGAAGTCATTGCTGGTGCATTTAAAAGTGTTCAATTTCAAATGTGTTTGATAGCATAGATGATGTACCATCAAACATTCTGATGCTCTGTATAAAGACAGCGACAAATAATCAATTGATGATAAATCCAAGTCATCATGAATCAAACAATTAAATGATGTACAATTTATTCCTTACACTTGATTAATAAAATTTCACTTTTTATTTATTTTCTTTTTTCTTGAGTCAGCTTATAATCAAATAAATACAGCAACTAAAAACGATTCATTTTTATATGAATTATTAGATGACTTCATCAATTTCTTGCAACAGAAAGTATAGATGATGCATAGGACTAAACTGAACCAAATACTGACATGAGATTACCCATCTTGTTAATCACCAGCATGAAAATTAGCCAATTTAATATAAATTGGATTTAAAAAACTAAATTTTCAAATTAAAAACTTATTGGAGAAATTCATTAATATTTTGAATGGCATTAATTGCTTAAGAAAGAATTTATTAAATGTCATATAATTTAAATATTATAAAAACTAACATACCATGTTCAGGTAATTCCCCGTATGACTTCAGATTTCTAGCCTCATCTGGATTGTACTTCAAAATGACATCAGCTTTAGCATCCTGATAATCTCTCAAACCAACGAGAATGATGTCTCCCTGGTTAATCCAGACCTGTAAATATTTATACATATTGCATTACTACTATTAATCTATACAAATATAATCAAATGACAATGATAAAATAATTCAATTAAACTTTAAAATTGAACAAATTGAAAAAATGAATGAATGACAAAATAGTCAATCAATAAAATGGACAATCACACTTTTTGTACCACAAATACACTGTGCAAAGAAGGTTAATTATGGGAAAAACAATAAAGAAGAATACTATGAAAGATGATGTTTGTTTTGTACGTTTACAAAGATATTTTAACCTATGATAGTATGAATACTGACAGAACTGGATAGATATTTCAAAAACTACAAACACTAGTTCAAAGACTGAATGTATGTTGTTTATATATACTGGTTATAATACAATGATAGATGTTAAAGGTGGCAAAGGTGTTAGCATGCTGTTCTGATGGACCTGGAATCAAATCTTTCAAGAAAATTAATTTCACTGTAAAGTTTGAATTGTGTGTCGACATCTTTTTTATTGTAGTGATCAACTGACCACTATCAACAATGACCAAACCAATGTAATAACCATTTTCATTCTAAAGTAGATAGAAATGTCAAACCAGGAAAACTAAAGATTTTGTTAACAACAGAAAAGGTATCTGGAAGAAAGCAAGAATAAATAAAAAAAAATCAGAAATCGTCAAGAGATTTGACATGTCATTGAGCACCTTCTCTACATATTTGAAAAACAAGAAAAGGATTTTAGAAAGCTTTGATAAACAGATAAATGAGTATCCATATATTGAAAAGTGCATGCAGAAATGGTATGTACAGTACACGAATATTCCTGTAAATGGAAAACTTTTTAGAGAAAAAAAAGCTAAACAAATCATACAATAGTTGGGTTGTACCAAATTCAAAGCATTCACAGGTGGCTAGATTAAATTTAAAAAGAGGCGTAGAATCATTTTCGATAAAATCCATGGGAAAATGTAAAAGTGCAAGAGAAGAATTATGCAAAGTGGTCAAAAAGTTTACCAGAAATTGTACAGAACTATAGTAACTGGATGAAGTTTTCAACACAGACAAAGTGATCTTACTTTTTTAAATGTCTACTAAATGAAACAATAAGTTTTCAAGGGTCATTCATGTCACAAAAGTGAAAAAAGCAAAGAATGTGTAACATAACAGATAATGAAAAATTGTCATTGTAATTAATTGAAAAAAATCTTTAAAGCCTGAAAAATGCAATATTAAGACATTAACTATACAATATCAGGCAATAAGAAAGAACAAATGTCAGGCCTTTTTTTAAGTGGATAAATAAGTTAGACACCTATATGATTGCCAAAAATAAAAAAATTATTCTTTTTATCAACAATTGCAGTCCATATTCAATAATTCCCATTCTGAAAGCTATAACAATTCAATTCTTACCATCAAATACTGTATATCATCTATATTTCAACCTTTAGAATGAGAAATTTCTTAATCTTTAAATTACAATACATAAAGCTTATCATATGAAAGATATTACATGTTAATGAAGATGGATCATGTATGGAGTGAACTTACTAGATGCAATCCAATGCAAATTATTACAAAGCTTGAAATAAAGTCCTACAGAGCACTACAAATTGTTTTACAAAAGTAAAAATTTGTTGCCGATTCAAATGAATCAGAATTTCCATCTGAATCCGTCAACTGTATTGAAGAAGATTGGGTCACTCCATTACAGCAGAGAATGATAAAAAAAAAGTGTCATTTAAAAATCTTGTTGACACCAACAATGACCAGTTATCAGAAAACACTTATCTGAAGGCAACATCATTGCTCAAGTAAAGAAACAAGAGATAAAAATGAGGAAAAAATAAATCCAAGGGAAAATACCCTGTCTCCCTATATGCAGGAGAGCAAGAAAAGCTCTCATGCTTTTAAGAAACTTTCTAGAAACATTATTATTCATAAAACAAGATGCTATCGAGGCAGTCAATGCATCAAAAATATTGTTGATCAAAAAGCAATGGACTATTGACAATGCGTGCATGCAACAGACTTTTCCTCTAATAGTGTCAATGTTTTGTTACTTTGTAAATATTACAATATAAACAATATAATTAGTATTAAATACATATATTTTATTACTACAGTAATACCTCGACTTACGCGAACCCGGAGTTACACGATTTTCAAATCTCGTCGATTCGTCTTTTGTTTGAGTGCCACGCAACTCTTGATTACTCTCTCCCCCCTACACTATTGTTCAGCTTACATGTTCGGACGTGTCGCGCGGAATCAACACATAGCTACAATTTATTTTGTGTTATTTATTTTTGTGTTTATTATATCTACGGAGACTTGAGAGAGACTATGTGATGATTTCTCGTAACCGTAAATGAATCAAAAGATTTTATTCGATAACGAGAACATTTATTAGCCTACATACATATGACTTGGATTTTACACAAATTGCGAAATTATACCCTGACTTATGCGGTTATCACTCAGTCCCACCTATCGTGTAAGTTCGGGGTATTACTGTATTTAGATTTATGTATGTACAATCACATTAACTGTAACTTAAAATTCCATTAACTAGAACTGGAAGAGATAAGAAAAATTTCAACTTATCAAGAGTCTACTGTATATATTTAGCAATTTTTTGTTCAGTGGCTGTAGAATGTGGGATTGCCATTCTAGAAACTCTACTGAATTTTAGCTAAATAATAAACTTTCATAAATTAGGAGGAGGACCAAATATATCCTCTAAGTTAGATGTTTATCACTAAATCAGATATCTAACTTCAATTACTTATAGAATAAACTATGTTAATCTCCATCTCACTATTCTGGTTCAATATTCTAGATTACATTGCACACAATCTATCCATAATATTAAAACATTGAGATAAATAATATTATCAATACCAAAGTCTTGACCAGCCTTGGGGTTTAAGTAATAGAGGAAATCAAAATTTAAATAGAAATTACCTTTTTTCTCAGCTTCCCTCTGATATGACATAATCGCTTTGTTCCATCAAAACACATTGCTTCTAATCTACCATTACCAAGCATTTTCACCACCTGGGCGTATTCTACAAATTAAAAAATTGTTTATATATATATATATTAATTATAAAAGTAATATTATATAAAATATATTTTAATTAAATTCAATATCTTTCAAGAAGTATTACATAAGTAAAAATGATAAATTTACTGTTGAAAATTTTAATGTAAATGCTTATCATCATTTGAAAATTTCCTATCTTTTTTGTTTTGAATTTTAAAGGAAAGAAAGAAACTTAAAAAAAATCCTAGAAGCAATTTTTTCCCCTAAAAAGTGTAGAAAACAGGTGGGAGGAGAATGTATCTAAATTTAGAGACAATTGGAGTAGGTGGAATAACATCAGATTTGCACTGACGAGAAAGAATGGAGGAGGTAAACTCAGCTTGGCACAAATAGTAAAGAAGATAGAGACAATTTAAAGATTTATCGATCGTATTAACAACTCCATAAAAACTTAAATTATTTTGTAACAATTATAAATATTTAAAACAGATGAAATAAATGAAATAAAACAGATGAGATAAACATACATTAAGATTTAATGTTAAAGAAAATTAGAGAGACAAAACTGATTTTTATAAGAGTCTCCTTTGCAACTTTCTCATCAGAAAACCAATCAAACAAAATCCTAGCATAAAAATTTTTATTATTATTGTTTTTTTAATTGATTCAAATATTTAAGTTAATTTAATGCTAATTTTTGTCTTAACTGAGAACTCTCTGTTGTAAGAACCAATTCCATTTTTAATAAAATTTTGAAACAAGATATGTAAACAAGTTTTAGAAGTCAAAATAAAGTTTATTAAAGATTTTCAAGATTGATGAATAAGAAGTCACAAATCCCAAGAGTGATGTTGAAATTAATGACAGCAAAATAAGCACCATATTCATATAACATTTGTTTGCAAAAGCTGACAGACTATACGAGTGCTCTGAATATCATTTCCAAGGTGTTGATTAAAGGATATATTAGTTAATAAGAATACTAAATTGAAATGGTAAGAATGGTAAATGACAATAGTAAATAAATCATAACAACAAACTCTGTAAAATACTAAAGCATGTGTTTTAGTAAAATAAAGCAAGTGATCACTAAGAAAAAGATGAAAACCTTCTACACTTATCCACAGTCAAAGCTGATGATACTGTAAACTTGGTACAATATAACTAACATTTATTTTAATAGTAATTGCTATTAAAGTTTATGTTCTATTATTAAAAAAAAATTTCCTTAACTTTAGAATATAGGAAAAGTTCTTGATGCAATGATCTAGTATTGTATATTCAATGCTTGTTTCTTCAATAACCTTTGCTGTCTGTGTATAACGAATCAATAAGGGTTTTAGAACTAGTCATTTTCATTTCAGGAGGTTTTATATACAATTGTATACAGTAAGATCCTGCTTAATGTGGGGGATGCGTTTCTAGATAAAGCACTAAACGAAACAGCATTAAATAAGGTAATTTTAACATAGACTAAATAGGGAAAGGGAACATGCGACCAAAAATAAACAGATTTTACTTTAATTTTAAGCTATGTATATATTAATTTGCATAATAAAATGTGTTAAAATAACACAAACATATGCACACAGAAATGTGAAGTTCATTTTTTGTGATGAAGGTCCTGGCTTTTCTGAAATTCTTGTTCTTTGCGATAAAGTCATGTAGTTTCATTTGTTGCTTTTTTTTTCTTTCCTTACGCAAATGCTGATAGCAGATCACATCAAAAACGCCTTGTTTTGCTTTTGCATTCCCTTTCAAAATCTGCATCATTCGCTACAATTTGATCAACGATTTTGGTTATTGTTACCAAACTTTTACTAACAAAATCTTTAGAAAGTTCTTTAGATTTCTTCATTCAGTTCTACATAAATTCCTTGTTCCGTCAGTTCTTGAAGGTCATCGTTGATAAGGCTCTCACAAGAAACCTGCAGTAAAACTCCTCTATCCTGATTGTCTACATCTCCTAGTCCTGCCGTATCAATTAGGTTGACAATTTGGACAACCTAACAATATAGCGATAGGTTCGTCTCATTGAGAATCCTTGGATACTTTCAGCCAGACCTTCCACACTTTGTTCATTCATTTATCAGTTAATTCTTGCCAAGTAAAGTTGATATTTCCTAGGGCATCCATGATGTTATAATTTTTTCCAAACTTGCACAAAACAAACATAGATTTAAGGAAAGTACAGTGCTTAGATAAATTGCTACTTTTTGCTGATTGGTTTGTGTTTGGGAATAATTGTAATATATATGAATCAATGAAATGCCGCGATAATTTGAATCAGCATAAATTTTGAGCTTTTTTAGGTTTCGAGCAGACAATTATATATATTGCAAGTAAATGAAATTTAATCTATATATATAAAAATGAATGTATGTGTGTCTGTCCTTCATGCATTACCACACCATTTATCCGATTGCCGTGAAACTTTGGGAAGTTGTTTAATATACTCCCGCAAAGGTTTCTGGCATAGTACAATTGCCTTGAAACTTTGGAAACTTTTTTAATACACTCCCGCGAAGGTTTCTGGTATAGTACATTTATCCTACGATAGATGGCGCGCACTATACGAGCATTTTACTGTGTGTTCAATCGATTTCAAATTGTGAAGACCATTTCCCCCTCCAAAAAATCTCTCTATATATGCATTTGTGAACTGTTATTTACGATATTTGTAATAATTTTTGTTTAATCACTTTATTTCAATTTTTTTTTTTTTTTTGCTAATTATGTATTTGCTTGAACTTTGTTAAAACCTTAACTGTATCCCGAACAACAACCAAAGTAGTAGGAGGAAATTCGCCTATTTTACTGATCTAGGGATCTCCTTTTCCAAATTTTAATATTGACTCAAAATAATTTAAAAAGACAAATTACAATAAAATGGTTTATTATCCAACTATCAGAAATTTTACAACATGCCAAGGAAGAGAGGAAGGAGCAATTAAATAATTAAAATTATAAAGGATTAAAAAATAT